CCATTTGCGACCCCAAACCCACCCTTTCATCAGACCACTGCCACAACCACCAGCTTCCTCCTCCCCCCAGTATAAAGCACATGCAGTGCTTGTTGAAATGCCGCAACAGAAATACCCCAATCTCTAGTTTTTGTTTAATCTGAACCTGTGTGCCTCAATCGGTGATAGAGGTGGCAAAAACACTACAATGAAGAGACTGTACTAAACTCATTTCTTTTGATTTTTTTTTTTGGAATAGATTATTCACCATTTTTACTAAACTCTTCTCTATTTTTGTTTAGTTCTTTGTGTTGACAATACGTGAAAGCTCGCTAGGTGTCAGAGACTCCTAAGAAGAAAGTAGAGTTATGAAAAAGCTATGGAAATGCTACAAAATTCTAATAAGTGATGTTTTTAGCACTTCTATTTATAAAAAATTCCACTATAATTTGGGTTTGGGTTTGAATTAGTTGAAGAGTTTGAGTTTGGGTGCAATGATACTTTTATTTGGATTGAAATGATATGTTATTCGGAGTGTTGCCTTATCCTTTGATTTTTTGTGAACTTACTCCATCTAATGCCAATCTATGTTTTTTTTTGGTGAACTTCACGACAGGCAACAACTATCGGCGGTGCAGCTCTAGTGACTAGCGACGGCACAACTCAAATGGCGACAGTGACCTCCTAAAGAGTGGTTTGTTTTTTGTATTTGTTATTTTAAGGGGTTTTACATTTGTTTAGGCGATTTATATTTTTTTGTCGTTATTTATTTTTTTGTAGGTTGTCTCGGATTCACACGGCCATGCCACTTTCAACGTCACGCCACCGTCCTATTCATCGATAAGATTTTGGTTTTAGTTTTTTATAGGTTGTCTCATGTAGCTTTGAAGGTATGATAGATAGCTTTGTCTAAACCTTGAGATGTTACTTTCATTTTAGTCCATTATAGTCAATGATTTCCCTTGTGTGTTGATACAAGGACACTCAGGGTTGCAAGAAAGTTTGATGACCCCAATGATGAATGCCCCATTTTGGTAAACTAGATTAAGGAATGATTCATTTTGCAATTGTACAATATAATTATGTTTTGTGGTCATTCTTTAATCGTATGGTTAATATTATTATGATAGTTGGTAAATAATTGTGTTTGGGCCAGGGACTATGGGTTAAAATTATTATGTTTTTTTATAGTAGTTGGAAAAAATTTGTAAATAGGCAAAACAATGGTTAATATTATGATTTTTTTTTGTAGTAAATAATTGTGTTTAGGCAAGACAATGGTAAATACTATTACGTTGTCGTGGTAGTTGGTAAATAGTTGTGTTTAAGCATGGATATGGTGTGATTTGGATATGATTATGAAATATATAAGTTTTGTAGGCATGTTATATTTGTGGGATCATATTTTCAGGAGATACTCTATGTAATTCAAGGGTATAAAATTTTGAATTGGGCAAATCTTGGTTTTTGTTGATTTATTGACGTAGAGCTTGGTTTAGAAGTAGTTTATATCATTTTGATGTGTGATTGAAGTTGTTTGGAATTGAAAATTTTTATGGGTTTATTCTAATTTTTTTAGAAAACGGTTGTACCATAAAATCTTTTGTTTGGTCTGTCACTTTTTCAAAAATTCATATGGTGCAGTTGTTGTGGTTAGTTGTTCATGTAGGAAGAATGATTTTCTGTTGTTTTAGATGCATAAAAGTGGTATGTTTAGGATTTAACTACATCCATTTTATTTGGTCAATTGTATAGGCAAACACAGATTGATTTGTGGGTCCTCATTTAGAATAGACAACACAATTTAATTGAATTGGTGCAATATTAAGTTAGGAATGCCATGCAAGTTTCTTGGTTTCTTTGTTTTTTTTTTTTTTGATAAGTCTTGGTTTATTTGTTTAATTAGTATTTTCTAAAGGGTGGATTGTGTAATTAGAATTTTGATTGTCTATACACATTGATAGTTCATTGGGTTTCTATTTTTAGGGGATGTCCAAATATTTTTAAAAGCACAAAGAAAAATTGTTTTGATTAAATATTCACAATTTTTGTTTAGCATAACATAGTGCATTTACGCATGAACATTCCTTGTAATTGCATTCCTTCTAACAACTAAAAAGAAACCATTATGACCCACTTTATTTCATCAAAGTCATGGCATTAAGTTGGATATGTGAATGTTGGTCCTTAAATTGAGCTTCTCTTGCTAGGCGCTACCATTAGTTCTAACAAGGTATGTAGTTTCAACAATATAAATATTGTGTTATTAGAATGATTTATGGGACTTTGATCATTAAAGTTGGGTTTACTCCATATCTTTATTGAAATTTGTCTTCACGAGAATCTTTATAATGCCTTGTTGATCATGGGTGTGTTAAGAATATAGTTTAGGCTTTCAGCTTAATGCATGTGTACATTCAGTGTATGATTGTTTTGTATTTAAGAACAATGTTCGTCTTTTTTTTTTTTTTTTTTCTGAATTGCATAGCGTCCTCAAGTTGAGATACGTTGGTTGCATTCAAATTAACTCTATTGTAAGTGATTGGTCATTCGACATGATGAGGAATTTTATGAGTTTGCCTATGTTCAGTCTTGAGTTTCTGTACCCGAATTGTGGTTTTGTTTTGTTTTTAGTGTTTCATGCTCTGTATGGTTGCTAGAAAATGCTCCCCCCCGAATTATCTTTTTGATTATGTATAAATTTTTGCCTTGTTTATATGCTATTTATTTTTCTACAAAAAAAAAAAAAAAATTAGGTTTAGGGTTTATGTTTAATATATTTAATCCAATCTTGAAGATCTGACTTTTAGTCAATTACTTTTCTAATTAACATTGTTTGGAACATATTCTTTTCTTTCTTATTACATTTGTTTAGAAAGCAACATGCTATAGACAAACCTTTAAGTAATTGTGCATAATTTTGATACTTGGTTAGGTTAATGCTTGAAGTAATTATGTTTGGCAATTGCACCCAATTAATAACCCTCATGCATTTCTCCCAATAAGCTTTTCCAAAATTGAAATTTATATCAACTCATTCATTCCCCCAAATTAATTTGCATGAATTTCATCTCTTTCATGCATTTTGAGATTTGGGATTGACCTTATTTTTTGGGGATAATAAACATTAAGTAAATTACTAATTCGGTTCATATTGCGCAAATGCAGGATTGCCAGAGATTATTATAGAAGTTGTGTAGAGTAGAAATCTTTTCACGAGTGGTAATTTTACATAATTGTAATGTAGTTTTTGATGATTTATTGGAGTAGACATTGATTTAAAAGTAGTTTATATTGTTTTATTGTGTGTGCAAGTTGCTTGGGATAGGAAAATTTATGGACTATTTCTAAATTTTTGAGAAAATGGTTGTGTATCACACAATTTTATGTTTGACATGTCACAAGTATTTATATGGTGCGGTTGTTTTGGTTAGTTATTCATGTAGTAAGAATATTTTCAGATGCATAAAAAGAGCATATTGTTTATTTTTTAACCACATTCATTTTACTTGGTCCTTTGGACAGACGGTGTTTATTGATTTGTAGGTCTTAATTTAGAATAGGAAGCACGAATTGATGGGATTGGTACAATTGAACTTAAAAGAATGACATGAGAGATTCACAGTTATTTGTCTATAATAAGGGAGTTAGTCATTTGAATTTTATCCATATATATTTTTTCCGTTTATTTTTATCACATCACTCAATTCTATCACAAGTTGAATGTTAATTTTTGATTGATTTTTGGCTCAAAATATAATTTTAATTTTAAATATTGTTTATATACGATAATGAATATATATATTTGATAGAAACGATTTTTTATTGATAAAAAATGGAGTACATCATTCTGAATAAGATGTGTTTGTTACAAATGAAGGGCATTGTTCCCTCCATAAGCAAGGATTCATGCAACTATTTGCATATTTTGTCAGGCAATTTGCCACCGCATTTCCTTCTCTATGAGTCCATGAAGTTGAGTACTCTTTGAATCCTTTTACTAAGCTGTTAATTTGATCAGTGAACTTACTTTGCAAAATTCCATGAACTCTTCGAGAATACACCAGAACACTCCTCCGACTCGAAAACAGCCACATCAAAGTTGATCTTTAGAACACCCAAAGGGGGAGGAGACCACTTACCAGCTTCTAAATGGAGAGATTGTAAGTATTGTTGTGTCATTATTTCAATCTTCTGACGAGACCAAAATTAAGTTAGGCGGTCGGATTTTGTTGTATCGTGTCTTCAAAGACGAGTTATTGATAGTATTTTTTAAAGTAGAATGGGAATGGAATTCAAGGTTAAGAAGCATTANAGTTAGGCGGTCGGATTTTGTTGTATCGTGTCTTCAAAGACGAGTTATTGATAGTATTTTTTAAAGTAGAATGGGAATGGAATTCAAGGTTAAGAAGCATTACTATAGTATAGTAATTAAGAAACTTTGTATTTGAGCTTTAATATGTCAAAAAATATCAACATTGTGTGCAATTTAGTATATAATCAAATCGTGAATTAAATTAAATTTAATTTTTTAGCAAAAAACTTGTTTGTCATTACTGGTATGAGTTGTTTGGCAATAAGTTTAAAATTTCTCTTAGCCATGAACCTATTTGAGTTGTGCGAAGTCACTCATTACTTAAATTCGTATGGTTTGAACAAACTAAAATCAAGAAGCGTTCGGACTCATCAAATCATTTAATAGCTGTGTTCTAGGACAGGTATATCGAGGGTGTATCGTGCTAGGACGCCCTCTTGGTGCATACATATTGTTTTTTTTTTGGGTAAATCTACATAGCTTTTATTTAAAATTGCCCCATGAACATTATATTATCCTAATTTATCCCATGAACTATGAAANTAATAAACATTAAGTAAATTACTAATTCGGTTCATATTGCGCAAATGCAGGATTGTCAGAGATTATTATAGAAGTTGTGTAGAGTAGAAATCTTTTCGCGAGTGGTAATTTTACATAATTGTAATGTAGTTTTTGATGATTTATTGGAGTAGACATTGATTTAAAAGTAGTTTATACTGTTTTATTGTGTGTGCAAGTTGCTTGGGATAGGAAAATTTATGGACTATTTCTAAATTTTTGAGAAAATGGTTGTATCACACAATTTTATGTTTGACATGTCACAAGTATTTATATGGTGCGGTTGTTGTGGTTAGTTATTCATGTAGTAAGAATATTTTCAGATGTATAAAAAGAGCATATTGTTTATTTTTTAACCACATTCATTTTACTTGGTCCTTTGGACAGACGGTGTATATTGATTTGTAGATNTGTAGTAAGAATATTTTCAGATGTATAAAAAGAGCATATTGTTTATTTTTTAACCACATTCATTTTACTTGGTCCTTTGGACAGACGGTGTATATTGATTTGTAGATCTTAATTTAGAATAGGAAGCACGAATTGATGGGATTGGTACAATTGAACTTAAAAGAATGACATGAGAGATTCACAGTTATTTGTCTATAATAAGGGAGTTAGTCATTTGAATTTTATCCATATATATTTTTTCCGTTTATTTTTATCACATCACTCAATTCTATCACAAGTTGAATGTTAATTTTTGATTGATTTTTGGCTCAAAATATAATTTTAATTTTAAATATTGTTTATATACGATAATGAATATATATATTTGATAGAAACGATTTTTTATTGATAAAAAATGGAGTACATCATTCTGAATAAGATGTGTTACAAATGAAGGGCATTGTTCCCTCCATAAGCAAGGATTCATGCAACTATTTGCATATTTTGTCAGGCAATTTGCCACCGCATTTCCTTCTCTATGAGTCCATGAAGTTGAGTACTCTTTGAATCCTTTTACTAAGCTGTTAATTTGATCAGTGAACTTACTTTGCAAAATTCCATGAACTCTTCGAGAATACACCAGAACACTCCTCCGACTCGAAAACAGCCACATCAAAGTTGATCTTTAGAACACCCAAAGGGGGAGGAGACCACTTACCAGCTTCTAAATGGAGAGATTGTAAGTATTGTTGTGTCATTATTTCAATCTTCTGACGAGACCAAAATTAAGTTAGGCGGTCGGATTTTGTTGTATCGTGTCTTCAAAGACGAGTTATTGATAGTATTTTTTAAAGTAGAATGGGAATGGAATTCAAGGTTAAGAAGCATTACTATAGTATAGTAATTAAGAAACTTTGTATTTGAGCTTTAATATGTCAAAAAATATCAACATTGTGTGCAATTTAGTATATAATCAAATCGTGAATTAAATTAAATTTAATTTTTTAGCAAAAAACTTGTTTGTCATTACTGGTATGAGTTGTTTGGCAATAAGTTTAAAATTTCTCTTAGCCATGAACCTATTTGAGTTGTGCGAAGTCACTCATTACTTAAATTCGTATGGTTTGAACAAACTAAAATCAAGAAGCGTTCGGACTCATCAAATCATTTAATAGCTGTGTTCTAGGACAGGTATATCGAGGGTGTATCGTGCTAGGACGCCCTCTTGGTGCATACATATTGTTTTTTTTTTGGGTAAATCTACATAGCTTTTATTTAAAATTGCCCCATGAACATTATATTATCCTAATTTATCCCATGAACTATGAAATTTATTTCAATTGCCTCTTTCGTTAAGATTAACCATTGCATTAGACAAACTAACTGTTAATATTAATAGAATCTGTCTCATTTAATAATTAGTCTTAATGGAGTTTATCTCATTTTTCGATTAATCTTAATGAAAGGGGTAGATTGAAGTGAATTACATAGTTCAGGGTATAAATTAAGATAATTGAAAGTTGAGGGGCAATTTAAAACAAAAGTCATAGTTCATGGGATATTTATGAGATTTACCTTCTTTTTTTTAGTGGGGCTATTCTTACACCTTAAATATGTTTTCTCACCTCATTTAGTTATTTTGTTCCAAACTACTAAATTCACATCATCTATACTCATTTCTTTAATTACTAAATTCATCTCATTTATACACATTCAATTCAACTATTAAATATTTATAATATTAAACAAAACTGACTTTAATAAGTAAATTCAACAGTCTCAAATAAATTCATTCAACAATCACTAACATTTCTCTCAAAATTATTCACGTTGTATTTTAGCTTCAGACATGAGTTATCCCTAGTATATGTTATAAAAGTGAAACAAAAATAATAATTGGAGTGAAATTTCAATATTCTAAGAAGGTCATTAATATTTTAACATATTTTTATTGATGTCTTTTAAATATTTTTTGGTGTTTTAGATATTTTTATTAAAGTTTGACTAATATTTTAAAAATAATTTTGAACTAATTTTTATTCTACTTTTGAAATATTTTCGTATTGAAGTATTGCAATAATAAATTGAAACGAAATTTTGATCAAATTGATATGAAATTGGATGAATTTAATTTTTAATTAGTAAATATAGAAGATGTGGGTTTAATAACTAATGAGCTAAGTATAAATGAGGTGAACTTAGAAGTTTGAAGTAAAAAGATTAAATGAAGTGGAAAAAGAGATTTAAAGGGTGGGAATGACCCCACCTTTTTTGGGCAAAATTAGCCCATCACATGGTTCTTTTCAAAAAAAAAAAAACCACTAGTGATAAATATGCAATATATAACTTACACAAAGATGAAAATAATTTTTTTTTCTTTTTTACAAGTCCACCCTAGTCATATATCTAAGGGCTGTAGACCCGTCATTCATGGTGGTGGACGCCGTATAAGACCACCACTTCCTCTTGTCCGCCACCCAGTTAGACTAGTTGGTCTCTACTCAAAAATGCAAAGCCATTGCCCCTTCTTTTCCTTTTTCTTTCGTCGGCGGTATTAAAAGTTCCAATATTTTAAGATTAAGTTATAATTTTTTGAGTGTTTGAGTTACAACTAAAAAAATTATAATTTATCGCAAGTTTTTTTTATCGATCATGATTTTTTTTTTAAATGTCTAGTTACAACATTTAAAAAAAGAAGTTATAGTTGATTGAAATTGTTAATGATCAATGCCAATGTTCCCTGATCGTAACTTTATAATACCACTCCAAATATGTAAGAGTTGAGTTGGTGATGAGACATCAAAGAGTTGGAATTCAAGTAAAATGGTAATCCAAGCAACTAGGAACTGGTAATAAGGATTTAGGACCAAGAGTCTTAATCTAACTCTACACCGTACTTCTGAGACTTGGTGACAAGATTAATTGAGACACATCTTCCTATTAATACTAGCAATGCACCATGTGCGTTGTACGTGAATAATTTTTGTACATACAAATTAATAAAACATAATAGGTATATTTGTATCTAAATTAAATATCATCAAAAATTTATCAAACTTAGTTTACATTGCTTATATTTTATTATGTTTGTTCTCAAAATTCTTAGTTCTAACTATAAAAAATATAAAAAAAAGATTTAAAAAAAAAAAAGAAATAGTTAAATTTATATTTTTTAGAATTTTGTGATTGAGATTATTTTTTAGTGATGTTTGAGAATTAAATTTTTTGAAATTCATTTGATTAGGATGTCATTTATAATTCCTTGAATAAAAACATAATAATTGTCAATATACTAATCACATTGAAACCTTACTATAATTAGGAATTAATTAGGTCAATTAGGATAACATTTAATTTACTACTCTATAATATATATTATCAAGCATATTAAAAATCTAAAAAATTTAAGTTTTACTTAAAAATATGCTACAATATCTATTTTTGCGTAAAATCTTAATACAACTTGAAATGTTTATTGTGATTAAAGAATTATACTCATGTAATAAAAATTATTTTTAAAAAATTATATATATAATTTTTTTTTATCTTAGAATTAAAAGGGTTAAAATTTTCGATGAAAAAAAAATACATATATATAGGCATAATATTATCTTTGCATATAAGATAAGTAATATTAGATTGACGGAATTTTTGAATTTTTATTGAAAATATAATAATGCATATTTTTTAAAGATAATATAATCAATTAATTTTTTTTTTATAAAAACTAATTAAATAATTAAAAGCATAGTTTTTAAACCCGGCCCGGACACCAACTCGGAGAAGGGACCGGGTCAATGGATTTCTGGTTCAACCACTGGGTCACTGGTCGAACCGGTG